ACCACAAAACACACACACACACACACACACGTTACGTGGCTTCCGAGGTTTAAACTGAAAAAAAAAATTAAAAACTTCATGACCACAGACCACCTCAAACCAGAAATACCTCAGAATTTTCTACTTGTATGAGTTTTATTATATATTTTGTTAGTTGTGTTGTCTTGTAGTAAGTATATTTTAATGTAAGTTGGCTTTTATGACAAGGGAGTCCTAAAAAAAGAAAAAAAAGAAAAAAGTTCCAAAATCTTTTACGAAGTGCTACCATTTTTTTTTTTGTTTTATAAAGCACCATTGTAAATAACTGTATACAGTTGTAGAATAACTGCCTATATAAGGTACCTGGGCATTATTCACTCTTATTTGTGAAGGCTGTTTTCCATTCTGTGTTATTTTTTTGGTCTGTTTTAGTGAAAGGACAGTACCTCTTTTTTTTTCTTTTTTTTTCTTCTTATTATTTTTATTTTTTTTACTTTGAATATAACATGAATTCTGTGTCTTGCTAGACTGACAAAGTTATATGCATTGGATGGCCAGAACTTCTAAATTTTTCTGCGTGTTAAGCCAAAATGCAGTCCTAAACTAATCACCCTGTAACGCAAATGTAAAAAGTCTGTATGATATGAACTAATTGGACTTCTTGCCACTGCCAAATTGTCAGCGTGCACCTTTGCACAGATATAATTTATTAAGCAAACAAAATTGCTAATTGGAGAAAATATAAAGAAAATTGAAATATATTTCTTGAAAAATATAGCTTTAAAACCCAGAGGTCACGGTCCTTTATCTTGAAGAGACATTAAGATAATTGCCTTAATTTGTCTATCTGAATAAAGTCTTAACCTATTCTTTCAAGTTCCTGAATGTATATTGCATATTAGTATGTACACACATGTAACTGTATTTCCGTGTGTAGGTTTGGAAGTTTCTGTTTCTTGATGTGCTTCTGTTGAGAACACCTTGACAAAACCAGACAGAACGATACCATTTTGACCCAGCCAGTGTCCCCGGTGGTGGTTGGCATCTTTGGGCCTGATGCTGCGACGTACCTATGCTTAGCATTAAGCGTGTAGGTAGCTCTCCTGGTCTCATGACATTAGGCACTCACTTAATGTTAAGCATAGTCGTAAAGGTTTGCAGGATCAGTATTTTTCATGTTTAATATATTTCTGCACTGAGATTTATATAAAAATGTGACTATGTTTTAGAAGTGAAGTGATGTGAGGGTTGGGGTGGAGCGTAGAGCAGTTAAGATGGAGTGAATACTTGTTCCGAGGTGGGCTTGCTCCCATTTCCCCGGGAACGGGAGCCAGTTCATATTGCTGCAGAAAGAAAAAAGCTGTACTGTCTTTTAACTGTTAATATCTGTTTGCTGTTCTGGTTTTTTTTCCTTCAGCATTATGTATTATGGCTAAAACAGGCTTATTACAGCAGTTGCTTTTTTATCCTGATTTCTTTAAGAAGCTTTAAAGTATTTATTGAAAGTGCCATATGATTTTAATAGCCTATTAGACAGTCTCTGAAATCTTCTCTTTTGAGAAAGTATAAATGAAAATTCTCACGTGTAGCTTATCTTACTGCGGGGAACTGCACGACCGTACAAACTTTGACCAAATGTTGACTGTAAAGTATTACATCTTCCCTGGTGTGATGGTTCCTTATAGATCATCTTGTCAACAGGATTCAGAAACTGATTTTTTAAAAGAATTTCCAAATTGCGTCTGTGCTCAGTTACAAATCGTAAATGTATGTAGGTTTGTGTGTCTTGCTATCGCAGCAGAGAAGGAAATCCTGAACTTTTGCTTATTTACAAATTTGTACCAGTTTAGCTAAAGCTGTTCTTTTAAACTGGTATTTATTTATTTTATTAATGAAGACAAGCTCTGATTAACTTATTGGTCTTTCAACACTTGAGCTGTCAAGCAAGTAGTTTCCTCGCCGCTAATCTAGCATTTGAACTCTCATTGACAACATGATTTTGGTTCTCTTCAGTACTGCAGAGGCTTTTTCCAAGTCAGCAATCGGGCACATCCATAGGTGTAGCTGTAATAAGCAATTGTGGCTCTTTTCCTCTTAACACTCCCTTGAATATGATGGGTACAACACCTCTTACGTTACTTCCCGAGCACTAAATTTCACGGAAGTACTTGCTGCAGAATTTTATTGTTGACCTTCCTCTCTTGTACGGCAGTTCTTAGGTGAATATTAACCTTGAATATCCTGGGTAAAAATTCTCCTTGACTTTAGGAGCCAGGATTCCCCTCTCCCCGGTGTAACTCCCTTTATGAATTTATTGCACTGGCTGGGCTGGTTTCCTAGGTGGAGGAAGTTTGAGCTCACGTTTTGAAACTGGAAATGCCACAGGAACTAAGATTGCTTTTTTTGAGATGATAGAGCTGTGACTTGCTAATGAAATTGCATTAGTACAGCAAGGCTGGAAATTGTATGTGGCTCATGTTGAAATACATGTGCATGTTATAAGAGATGGCTATAAGCCAGTCTAACCATCAGTTAAGTAGCACCAGGCTTATTCATTATGATTAAGGATTTTAGCTAGTCCTGATCATACAGTCTTCTCTGTTTAAGGCAAAAGAAAACTACTTTTTATTCTGCCTCTTTCTTCAGCTGAAATTCTCTTACAGAATACACTATGCTAGATAAGGTTACACCTATGGAAATGCCGAGATCTTTGTGTATGTTCGTTTCAAAGAGAAGGTCCGTGAGTGCCCCCCAGTAATTCCACTGCATTTTCCTTGGGTCTCGGACTCACTGCTGTTCCCGCTTGAAGCTGTTGGTTTCAGTAGAAGCAGCGGAAGCCTCGGGTCCACTCAGTGCAACGTTGCTGGGGGGTATTTCCAGGTTGGCTGGGCCAGGCCTCGCCAGTAGGAACCCTGATCCCCCTTAATATCACAGCACAGAAACGGGAGAGCACACGTTTTATTCCTCTTGTGCTGCTTTCTAGGCAGACTGTCAGAACTTGCCCTGTTTTGCAGGGGAAAGGTCTGTTTTCACTTAGTATGGAAGAAACTCGTACTGCAGAGGAAGGTGCCGGTTGATAACGCTGTGACAGTGCTGTTGTTGCAGTCCTCTTCAAGCCACACTCCGCTTGAGAAGTTGCTAAGCAGGAAGTGTCCCGCAAACTATTATCACTTTTACATACAGAATATTGTTTGCTAACATTGTAAATAAAATAGACTATATAATAGAGGAAAATAAGGACATTTTGACTTTTTTACTTTTGGAAAAATATATATATATATTTTAGTTACATATACAAACAAAAATTCTACATTGTGTGAGAATTCTTTTATACCACAAATTATTTTTGTAATGTCTAATATGTTTCTGCAGGGAAAAGGGAGAAAGGTCTGTGTTACGCACAGCAAATAAATAAATAAATATATATAATGTTTAAATGAAGTGTGCACTACATCAAAGTCTAGAGGATAGAACAAGTTTAGCCTGAAACCAGTTTGAGGAGCAAGTCTGGATGTACTTGGACATGCTTTGAGGACGGCACTGAGTATATGTTTA